TCACATTTTATTGATGCATTCATCTGCCAATGGACATTCACACCATTTCCAAGATGTTTCATTTATACTACTAGTCTCTTGTTCATTGAAAAAGAGAGCTTTATCTTTTTATTTGTTTCTCTTTGTAAGAGATTTGTTTTTTGTTTATGATTTAGAGTAACATTTTGGTCATTATTTTAAAATCATGATGCATAGTATATTGACTCTTGTTAGTCTCTAGTAGTTTTGTTAAGACATTTTGTTTTTTCACAGAAGTAAAAAGTGTTTTTAATGTTTTCTTTATTAATACATACTTGTATTACATTAACATGAAAAATACACTGATGAAGTACAGATGTGAATGAGGAAAATGTTATTGGAAACTACAGGAAAAATACAGAGAATCATCGAACTACAGGAAAAATACAGAGAATCATCTGCACTGCAAAGAAATCAACCAAACCTTGAGATAAACTATGAAGTTGGAGATGTTTGCAGACTATATTTGATAATGTCATGGTTTATATCTATGGGCCCCAGGCCTCATGCAATTGCATTATGCATTTGTGGTTGGTTCATTGTCTGGAGCTTGGATTGATGATGTCAGTGCTACATCCACATAGGGGTGGAGCTAGCATACAATGTAATGGCAGGAAGAAGGTGTGTCTCTTGCCAGTTTCTGCCTTGCTGTTTGCAGCCACCATGAACTGCAGCCCTGCCTTGCCACCCTGCCTTGAAGCCAACTGAGTATGGACTGAAACCTCCAAAAACTGCAAGAAATAAACCTTTCCTTCCCAACTTTGGTCATCAGATATTTTGTCTCAGTGAAGAGTAAAAAGTAACTAAGACAGATAATGTGTTGATAGCCAAAGTACACAAAAAGCTTCCAAGCTCAATAACAAAAGAAATAACCTTTAAAAACAGGTAAAATCCTTAAATAAATATTTCTCCAAAGAAGATAAACATACTAATAGGCACATGAAAATCCATTTAACATGACTAATTGTTAGGGAAAGGAAAGAGAAAATCACACTGATAATAATACCAGTTAGAGTAGCTAATACAAGTGAAAAACTAGAAAACATCTGCTGAGAAAGTGAAGAAATAGGGACCTTTGTTCACTATCAGTGGGATGGTACATTGGATCAATCTTTGGAAAATAATGTGGACATTTCTAACAACAGCAAAAAGACAATTATGTGATTCAGCAGTCTTACTCCTGAATGCATGTTTAAGGAAACTGAAATAGAAATCTCAAGATATTTGCAGCAGTATATTCATCACAACATTATTCACAATAGTCAAGATATGGAAATACACTAAATGTCCATTGTAGTATGAATAGATAAAAGTAGTATACACATGTAATGACCATGTTACACAGCCTTGAATCAAACATCCGACCAATTGTGACATCATGGATGCTCAGATGGTATTATTCTGAATGATAGAAATTTGATAAATGAATAGTTCACATTCCCAATTACATATAAAAATAGTCAAATATATAGAAGCAACATGTTGAGTGATAGTTATCAGGGAGTATGGAGAAGGGAAAATGATGTGTTGATCAAAGTCTAAAAAAGGTTGTAGTTATGCAAAATAAATACATTTTGGATATCTACTATTAAGAGAATTAATAGAAGTTTTTTTTAAGAATTGAGAAAATTAAGACATTAATGATAGAACTCAGGTAAAGATTCTGTTTAAAAATCTTGTATTTTTGAAAATAAGAAAATAACATATACCATGAAGCTGTTCAACATTCAAATTTCTGTGAATAGTAGAATGGATAATTTGTGGCATATCACAGTATGGCATATTATACAGAAAAACAACTACCTACTAGATCTGAAAAAATATCTCTCAGTATGTTAAAAAAAGAATTAGACAGAAAATATATACTAATTGGTCGATGTATGTAAAAACAGGCAAAAGCAGGCAAAACTAAAATAGTTAAAAGGAAAGATACTGTTTAACATTGATGTGGCTGCACATAGTGACTTGTAAAGGAGTCTAGGGGGCTTATATGGGGTTTGTTGTTCTGGGTGCTGTATTCATGGTTGTGTTCACTTTGTGAGAATTCATTACTATGTAGACTTATGGTATGTGCACTTAAACATTTTCATGAAATATTACACAATTGAAATAGTTGCCCACATACTATAGTATTAGTGTTATTTGTAAAGTCAAAATTCATTAAAATGTGAACCCCATTAAAATAATGATTTTAATCATTTGTTTTTATTACTGTCTGTTCCAAAACTATAGTAAGGCCTAGCATATAATGGACCTTCAAAACATTTTTTATGAAGAATGATGAAATAGTACAGTGTTTATTTCACCACTTGTCACAGAATTCAAACTCTGTAAATATTAGACTTTACTATTTTTAACATCTTTCTACCATTTATTGAGATAAAATCTTTTATGCCTTTAAAGAGTGCAATTTAGTAATCAATACATGAAGTGTGATTCAAAAATATAATGAATGTTTAATTTTAAAAAGTTATTATAGTAAATATCATACTGCCATTAACCTTCCTCAAAATACTCCTCCCTGTGAACAAACTTAGTCACTTTTCTTTCACTGTTCTCATGAACATCCCTTTATGTAAAAGGCATTTAACCCATCTCCAAGAGTTGCTCAAGTCTAAACATTTTAGCATTGCTGAAAAGTCCAAATCTTATCTTCTCTGAGATTTAAGGCAAACTTAGCTGTGAGCACTTGGACAAATGAAAAGAAAGTTGAACACTTTCAGCATTCAGTGGCACAAAGTAGACATTTCCCTTCTAAAAGTTTAAATGGTAATGCAAAGAACTAGGACCAAAGCAAGTCCAAAATCCATCAGGGCAAGTATTAAATCCTTTAGTTCCATGTGCAGCATTGAGGCAATCTGTGGAAAGATATGAATTCCAAAGGGCTTTGGTGGCTTTGCCCCATGGCACTTCTGATGGTTGTAGCCCCCATGGCTTCTGTTTTGGACTTTCTCTTCCCCGTCCTCGCAGTTTTCCTTAGATGATGCATGTTCCCGGCTTCTCCAAATTTCTGGTTGACTCCACTGCAGTTTGGCTTCATTCTCACAGCTTCACGCACTTCCCTCTCAGGGGAGCACTGCCTGGCCTCTCAGACCTTCTTCTGAAATCTGTTCAAAAGCCTTCCTGACCCCACAATTCTTCCATTCTTCATAAATCTAAAACCAGCAACACATGGCTGATGCCAAGATTTGCTGCCAATTGGAGCAGTAGCCAGGCCTGTGTCTCTCTTGACTGTAGAGGTCAAGTGTCTGGACTGAGCACTCTGAAACCTATTTCAAGGAACAAATTCTCTAACCTGTTGCTATTCTGGAACATGGTGCTTTGGGACTTTCTTCTCAAAGCAAAGTCTTTCACTTTTCAATTTTTTGGCTGCAAAGGGTAGAGTAGTGCTGCTTCTTGGGATGCCCTTAGATAAACTTTTCTCCCATTCCTCCTTGGAAATCCATATCTCCTCAACTCTATCCTTACAGTCCATGGCTTTCCTAGAGCTTCCTTTCTGCACAAACATATCATTTTATATCATTCTACTTGGTTCTCTGATCTTGATTCTCAACATAAATTAGCTAAAAGCCCCCAACAGCAGCCATTCCATTACTCAATATTTGAAATTACTTCTGCAAGATTAACTAGTCTGCCACCCTTAATCTTAGTCTCAGGAAAATTGTGTCTAAACACAAGCAAAATTCAGATGATTTTTCTTCCAAGTCATAACACACATTGTCTGGAGTCCAATGTCCAGTTCCTTCCTTCCTTCACAGCAGAAACATTCCAAGCATCATCTTTACCTTCAGGATTTCTTTCAGTCTTCTGAGCTGTGATCAGAATCTCCTATACAGCCTGAGGTGTTCCATCTCTACTTTTCCAGCAGTCATCTCTGAACATTTCCAAACTTCCCACGAGCCATTTCAAAACTCTCCTAAACCGTATGGTCAGGTATAGTAACACAAGGATCCCACTCCTGGTACCAAATTCTGTCTTAATTTTCTCTCATTGCTGATACAGAATTCCTAACACTCAAAGTTAGGAAAGGTGCATTTATCTGACAGTTTATAGATGTTCCAGTCCATAATTCACTGGCTCCAAGGCAGAGTGGATTTGCAGAGGAAAACAGTTCATGGTTGATAGAGACAACAAAATCAACAACTGAGCTTTAACAGAAATTTCTTGCCCATTTATACTCTTATCTAAGCTGCTTGGCTTAGAGTGGTGCTAAATAAATCTGTGTACTTATCACACACTATTAATCCCAGCATCACACAGTCTTGATTCAGCCATTTCTCAAAAACCTGCCTTCCATGACCGCATGGGACTTTGGAAGAACATCTAGACACAAAACATACCGCATACTTAACCCATTCATCTTGCCATTTTCTGAAGTTTTTCTGGTAGTTCTATTTTGTGATTTTTTTTAGTCATACTGTTTTGGCTGCTTCCATGCCCTGAATGAATCAAAATATTTTCTCTGAATAGTAATTTTGACTTAGAGGAAGAGTCAGAAGTGGCACTGTGACAAATTCAGGTAACAAGATGGATGAGGACACACTGTGATATTTTTATGAGCCTGTCTGCCCACCGGATGGCACTTGGTAGCAGCATTCACTTTATTTTTTATCACACATCATAAAGACATTCATGAAAGAGGATTCCCAGAAGCACTTCAGAAGGTGGCAAGAAAATAAAATAATTGTGTTTGAAGTAAGCAGAGTATTGTGAGTGGTGATTAATGGCAAGTTTATTTATTGTAAGAAAGTTTTAAACATTTAAGCATTTACTATATGCTTTCATCACTCCTTTTAACATCATGTCTCTGTTATCTGTTTCCTAAGTTCATCTCTTCACTTGGTCAACATCAGTAAACATAGTGGCCAGGTGAACTTTACTCTATGAACTTAAAATTGGTAATCAAAGTTGAAAATTTACCCAGTTTGTAAAGCCTGTATTAATTATGCTGTGGCTATTGTTCTTATTTGTTATGTTCTTATTGGTCTCTAGTCAGAAATGTAATATTAATTAATATAGTTGTGTGATTTTAACATTATTTGAAAATATTTTAATTGAAATACAGATTTATTCTCAGAGACTTAAATGGATGTTGTAAATTATTAACTTTTTCTTAAAGAAAGCGTTGTGTACCTAATGACAAACCTCAAGCATTTTAGAATTGTCAAAATCTTTATAAAGCACACCACTGAAGATGAGGTTGAAAGAATTGGCCTTTATTATTATAGTAATAATCTCAGGAGAACTCTATGCAGAAGGTAAAGTTCTTAATATTCTTTATTCTATTAAAAATATAAGTTGATATACCAGTATTCATGTGAGTTCTAACATAAGACATTTTGGTTTATCAATTTAAATAACATGATTTTTATAAATATAATAATGTTGGCCTTTGGGAAAATTATTATGTTATTATTCTAGTAGAGTGACTAAAAAAGCAAAACAAAATCTGCTGTTTTTATGACATAGAAGACTGGGATTGAAGTGTTTAGTTTAAAGGTTTTTCTGGCTAACAATATGACAGTTTAAATGTCACATAAAAATTTAATCCTAATTTTTTCATATTACTTGTGCAGTTTTAATTCTGTATTTATATGGTAAAATCTTAATGTGAGTAATTTGAAAATCAAATCATCATAAATCAGCAGCCTCTTTTTCTACTCTTTTACTTTGATTTTTGTAGCAGTGATTTACTCTCATGGTTGGAACTCAGTCATTAATAAAAGGAACATATGATTGACTGTGTAAAGAAAGATACTTTTCAAAGAGTCCTTATTAATAATTATGTCTGGACAACAGGTATAACCTGAACTCTCCAAATTGTTATCTATTGATTTCCTATTAGAAATGTTTTTACCCATAGTGTATAAAATGAGTGTGAGAATAAAAGGTAGGCACAATTATGGTTTGTGATATTTAAGAATAGTTCTCAGCGTAATTAGAATGTAGAGTTAAGACTTATGCATGTTAGTTAACTACCAACAACTGTGAATATTAAAAATGGGAAACCACTGCTACAAATCTTTCTTAAAATGAACACTACAAAATTTGCTGAAATAAGTGTCCTATAGATTATAGTTGCCTTTTAGTTGAATAGTTTGTTACAAATTTTCTAACAAAAAGGATTCAATTAAAATTATGCAAATGAAATAAATGCAATTTATTTTATATGATATATTTAATTCTATAGTAGGATAATTTTTATGAAGTTTCCCCTGATTTTCTGTAAATAGATATCCCAGCTAATATACATTACTCCTTTACATGCTTATTAAGTTTCTATTATGTGATTATAATCTTGCTTTACACAAACAAAAAATGTAAGCTCCATAAATAAAAGGGCCAGGATCCCATATTCTATGTTTTCCCCAATCCCTGTTGTGGACCTCAGAGTGAGAAATTAAGTTACTTATTCTTTTCATTTCATGGTATGCAATCATTACTGTGCTTTGAAAGATCTAACTTTTGTTTTATTTTTATGCTTTCTCTTTTTATCTCTGATCTTGAATTACATTTTCTCTATGACCTACTATAATGTTGGATATGTTATTAAATAATTGAATACAATAATTGAATTAAATAATTGAATACAATTAATTATAACATGTTTTGTGTGTGTTTTACAGTCACATTAATAGGAACTTGCACTAGATTTTGTCTTCCTATTTTATTTTACTTGATATTTTTCAACTATATTTCTACTTTTAGATCTGCTTTGTTGTTTTAAATACTGTATACTATTTCACTCATGTATCTGTTCTAATTACACTCACTTCTATTGCTCTAATAATGTACACTGTGATTCCTTCTGTCTCTTGTCTCTGAAATTAATTTCTCTGTGAGGAATTTTTGGGCAAAATTTTGTATGTATTTCTCTCGCTACACAATGGCAGATTACTTTGCAGAATGATTATTTAAAGTATGTAACCTCTAAAGCAGTGTGTAAGTTACTGCTTCCAATTAGCCTTGCCAGCACTATTTGCTAATTCACTGTTCCTAAAATGGTATCTTATTTTTATTTATTTGCAAATCTCTGCTTCTTAGTAAGTTTGTACATCTCTTCATATACGTTTTTAGATGCCCAGACATCTGTGATTTCTTGTTTTATAGCTGAATAGTGTTTTCCTTTTCTTTATGTATTTTTATAGCTGATTTGTGAGAACTCTTTGTAAACTTTGAGTTTTAATTTCTTGTCAATGGATAGCGCAGATTTTTAAATTTAAAATTCAATTATGTTTGTTGACTGAGTCTTTCATTGAAAGAAATTATTAATTTTGATATAATCAAATTTTGACATATAAATTTCAACTTTTGTTATGCACTTCTGAATCACACAGCGTGACTGTTACATCAGGAACCAAAACTAAAAATTAAGGTCATAAATCAAAACTTAAGGTTTTTTTCAGAAAAACTTTTTTTTATTTTAAAAAGCAAAACAGAAAAAAAAGAATTAGAAATGATATAGAATTTCAAAAAAGAAAAAAAGAATAGAAATGATATAGAATTTCAAAAAAGAAAAAAGTAGGGAATTAACACTAGTTAATATATTGCACGTTGTTATCTCAGAACTAGTTGTTCAAGTTACAAAATCTAGATACAAAAGTGATCAATGACAGCACGAACTCTTCTTTTAATGAACTAAGAGATTAGTAATATAATTATCTATCTAGCATACATATACTTACGTACATTTATATATGTTTACCAGCAATCTTGTAATCTTTTCCTTTCTTCCTGTTTTCCTTACCCCTATCCCACTAGTTTTGTCCTTTTGAGCACTTTCTTTCTCTTTTATTGTTACAATACCTTTTGAATATTTTGGATATTATTACTCTGTCAGACTTTTAGATTTTATTATTTTTGTACTAGGGAGACAATATGATATTTATAAATATGAGTTTGATTTATTTCACTTATCAATATCAAAAATTAAGTTTTTGGGTTTTTTTTCTAATAAGATCTTTGGCTAAAATCATTCTATTTCCATATTTTTAGATGTATATTTTTATACTCAAAATATTTATTTGTTTATTCTTTTACTTCTGTATTTTGAGTCTGTATTCCAGAGTCTTCTATTATCTGTTCAAAGATATTCATTATGTGAACACGAAATTTTCACCTATTTATCATTTGCTATAATTGTGAGATGTATTGCAATTTTTAAATTTTCTTTTATTGTAGCTGAGCTCCTCACACTTACTATTTTTTTCTCATGAGCTCATGTTCTGCAAGATATATCATCTACCTTAACAAGTACCATGTCTCTCCTGGTGATGGTGAAGGGACAAGTCCTAGGACAGTGCATGTTTGGAGACACGTTTTGTTTCCCTTCTGCCTCCATCAAGAGACCCTCAAGGAGCATTCTTGTGTATTCACTACAGCATTTATACTTTTGGAGAATCCCTTCTCATTGTGAATTTCTGGTCCTTGAATAAGGAAAACAGGAGGATTCTCAATACATTGGGAACATCCTGTACCTATTTTTATCTGTTTTCCTATTTTTATCTATTAGGTGCTTATAGTTATGATTTTACTCATCTTTCTGTGCCCATTTTCTTCAGTCCTGGCCTGATACTATTATTATTTTATTATTATTATTTTATTCCTGAGATTAGCATTTGAGTAGGCAATGCTCAAGGCATTGAAACCAGAGTAACACCACCATTCCATAGCTTGTGACTAAGGATTGTCCAAGTTTTGTTTTGTCTTAAGTATTTTTATTATTTTAAGACCACCAAAATATAGATTTTTTAAAATAAAAATTTAATTTTAGATATAATACTCAAAATGCAAGAAGTTAAATTTCTATAAACTTTTTTATCCAGTTTTTTTTTTTTAAATCGGTACCAAGGATTGAACTCAAGACTGCCTGCTTGTAAGGCAGGTGCTTATGCTGCTGAACCAAATCCCCAGCCCCAAATTTCTATAAACTTAACACAAATTTTTACCACCTAGATCAAGATAGAGACTATCTTAATATCTCAGCCACCTAAATAGACATTCCAAGGAGCTAAGCCCCCAAATTAACTATTCTGACTTTATTTTACTATTGGTTAGTCCTTTTTTGAAAAGGTACTTAAATGCATGTGATAACTTATATGTAACTCATTTCTTTCCATATGATATTTGTGAAACTCATGTATTTGCATGCCATATAATCTATTGTATTCACAGTCTTAAACATAGTTACCCTTTGAGTCATTAATGGGCATTTTTATGTTTTATAACTTGGGATTATATGAATAGTATGGAATGGACAATATTTTAAGTGTTTTTGGATTAACAAATGTATTCTTTTCTGTTGTCTAATATGGAGCATACTCTGCTTTAATAAACATTGCCATTACATTTCCCCAATGACACCCATTTGTACTGTCAAATGGAAGTAGTATTTTTTATTTTAAAGAGAATAAAACAAAACAGAATAAAGCAAATTAGAACAGAACAATTCAAGCAACACAGAACTTCAAAACAAGACAACAGAAAATCAACAGTGGTGACCATAATGTCTCTTGTTGTCTTCAAAATTGCTGTCCGCACCATTGCACACAATAAAATCAAGCAACAAAATAGAACAAAACCAAACAAAATGAAAGAATAAATGTGTTACAGAACTTCAAAATAAGATAACAGGAAATCAACAATGGCTACCATAATCTCTTAGTTTTCTTCAAAGTAGCTGTCCATATTTTCACACGTAATAAAATCAAACAATACAAATAGGCTAAAACCAATCAAACCAAAAAAATGAAAGCATTACAGGACTTCATAACAAGACAATAGAAAGTGAACAATGGCTACTAGAGTGTCTTTTTTTCTTCAAAATAGCTGTCCATACTATCACACATAATGAAATCAAATAAAACAAAACAGAATGAAACCAATCAAAATGGAAGAATGAAAGTATTAGAAGACTTAAAAACAATATAATAAGAAATTAACAGTGGTTACCACAGTACATTCTATTATCTTCAAAATAGGTGCCTATGCCATCACACAGTAAAATCTAACAAAACAGGACAGCATAAAATCAAACCTAACAAAATTATGAAAAAAATACAAGAATTCAAAGCAAGATAATAGGAAATTAACAGTAGTTACTACTTTCCTTTTTAAACTGTTTCCTCCCAATCACCTTCATGATGTCTATTGTGCTTTTGGATCCCACTAACTCCTTCAGTTTTTTATGATAGGGAAATAACTTGGTGTTCACCTGTATGAGTCCAATCCATTTTACTTATGAACATGATCTCCAGTTGTGTCTATTTGCTTACAAGAGACTTAATACTATCCTACTTCATAGTGGGGTAGCTTTCCATTGCACGAGACGTATCTTTCTTAACCATTCTGTGGTTGATGAGCAAGTTAACCCTTGATTTTTTCTGGTCTTTTGTCATGTAGAACAATTGTTTTATCTTCTTTGATTTTTCAGTCTATAAATTTCCTTTTGACTTATTTCTTGTGTACAGTGCATTGATGGATCTTGTTTTTCGATCTACTCTCCCTTTGTTTCTTTTTATTGGTGAATTGAGGCTATCTACATGATTGGTTACAACTGGCATGCACTGGTTCATCTCTGCCATGCTATCTTGCCCTCCACTTTTCCCTTTCATTTAGTTGCCTGTCCTGTATGATGATCCTCCTCTGCTGCTGTTCCTGGAACTATGGTCATCTTTATCTTTCTCTAGAATATCCTTTAGCACTGTCTGTAGGTTTTGTGGTCGTGAATTCCTTCAGTTATTCTTTACCATGGAAGTATCTTATTTTCCCATCAATTCTGAAAGTTAGTTTGGCAGGATACATCAATATGTGTTGGAAGTTGTTTTCTTTCAGGATTTGAAATACTTTACTCCAAACTCTTCTTAACTTGATGGTTTGTGTCGAGATGTCTGCTGTGATTCTGATTGGCTTTCCTTTATAGGTGATGTTTCTTTTCTCTAACAGCTTTTAAGATTCTGTTCTTGTGCTGAATTTCTGGAATCTTGATTATTATATATCTGGGTATAGATTTATTTTGGTTATAGCCAGTTGGAGTTCTGTATGCCTTATTTATCTGTATGCCAGATCCTTTCTCTGTGTTTGGAAGTTTTTTACTATTAGTTCTGTAAATAGCCATTTTATTTCATTTGTGGTGACCCCAGCCTCTTCACTGATACCTATCAGTCTTAAATTATGCCTCATTACATCATCTTGCAGCCATTGAAATATTTTTTCCTTGTAACTTGTTATTTTTAAGAGATTTTTCCTTGCATGTTTGCTAACTGTAATCCTATTTTCAAGGTCTTGAGTCTCTTTCAAGTGGTATTGCTAGGTTTTGATTGACTTTAATTTCCTGATATCTCTTTGAATTTATTTCATGCACTGTAAATCCTTCCTATATTTGTTCATTCAAGGTTTGCATCATTTTCCTATGCTCCTCTTTTTTATCTATGAATTCTTGAGATATGCTCAGCAATTCTTTCATTATGTTTGTGATTTCTTCTTTTGCCTGAGACATTATTTCTGATCTGATTACTTTTACAGTCTCATAAAGTGGTTTCTTTACTTCAATTGCTATCCTCTCAGGGATTTCAGGTGTGCTACTTCCATTTTCTTCCATGACTATATCTCCAAGACTTGTTCTGTGTGAGCTGGGGTTCTGAGATTGCTTTTTGCTCCTTTGTCTTGACGTTCTCCTGGGTTCCTCCCAACAAGCTGATCATGGGGCCTCAGGCACTTGCCACATTGGCTGCTCCTCCACGAAGTAGGAGAATGAGACAGACACCTTGGTTTCTCTGATCCCTAGGTTCCCATGGAGGCAGCAAGGCATAGGGCGGGCTTGTCCAGACTTGTAAAGCTGCACTGAGATTCCCTAATGCTCTGGGATGCATGGTGGCTGCTTGTTCTCTCAGCCTGTGTGTGTACACCAGCACTCCCCCAATGGTGGCAGGCACACAATGTGTGTTTGCCTGACTCTTCTGGTGGGTGCTGGCTGCTCAAAGGAAGCAAGGGTCTCCAGTGGTGGCCAGGATAGGCAGGGAGATGCAACCAAATATACCACTGGAGGTGAAAGAGCTGTTCTGGTAGGTTGAAGGTTCTACATTGTGCCAAGAAGTCATGCTTAACACAAGAACCAGGGCTGTCCTGAAAAATACCACAGCCATCTTCAGCAACATGGAGCTCCTCCGATGATAAGAACAGTCCAGTATATGCCAGAAAGCCAGAATGATGAAATTGTCCTGGAAATCAAAGGGCACATGTCTTCCTCTTCGGGAACCAGGAAGTGATGCTCAATGTAAGGACCAGAGCTCCCTGAAAGTGAACCACAGCCACTCTTACCAACAAGGTCCTGAGCTCCTCCAGTGACAATGGTTGAACTAACCCTGGGGAAGCTAGTCATGATGAGCTCCTCCAGGAGAACCAAGGGCTCACACAGCAACACTTGGGAGAACACACAATGCCCCACTTATCTTCTCCTCAACTCTGTTTATACTGGCAACTTTCCTCAGGTGGAACATCTACACTCAGCACCATGCTGATTTAATCCAGCTGGTGTTATGTGGACCATCAGTTTTTAATTCATAACAAATTCCAAGTTGTTTGTTTTCCCTCAGCAAGGCATGTAGGCCTGGCCATTTTATCTTTGTTTTGAGCCCTGACCTATGACAGAGGTTCCTTTATCACAGTTATAATGACTTTATTTTTCTACTGACTTCAACAGTACAGTCCTTCTCTGACTATATATTAATTTCTGTCTAACTTAGCTGCCTATGGTAGCAAGAGAGTATTTTTCATATCTTCACTAATCATTGAGACAGTTGTCTTTTTATTTCAGCAATTTTTGTATATTTGCAGTACTACCTCATGGTGGTTTAAATGTGTATTTCCCACATGATTAGTAAGGCTGAACACCTTATCTTATTTGTTAAGTTCTCACTTAAGCAGTTCATATTAATTGGTTGTCTCCTTTTCCTTAGAAAAAAGAACAAAAGACATTTATTTCACAATCTGTGGGTTTGCACATCTTAAGGAGGACCTCATCTTTTCTAAATATGTGTTCCTCAATATAGGGGACATGACCCACAAAGAGCTGGTCTTCTATATTCACAGTTTCCATAGTATAGATTCAACCAAATGGATATAGAAGAGATTTGGAAAAACATTGCAGAAAGTTCCATAAGTTGAAACTTTCTGTTGTCACATGCCAAGTACTATACTGAGTCCATGCAGATAAAGTGAGATGTAGTCATATTATTGGGTATTCTAAATATCTCAAGTATATGAAAAGTAGTATTATATGCAAATATGCCACCATTTTTTATAAGAAACTTAAGCATCCATAGGTTTCAGTCTTAGGGTCAGGGAAGTCTTAGAGTCAATACTCTACCCATATTGGGGGACAACTCTGTGAATATTGAGTACTTGAAATATGGTTAGTTCCAGTTGAGATATGCAATTTAAAACTGCTCTGGATTTTGGAGAGTAAGATAAAAAGAATGGAAAATCTTTTAGTGTGTTGAATCAAATAAGACCTATTAAAGCTAATCTCATTTATTTCCTTTTGATTATGTTGGTATTAAAAAATCTAAAATTACACATATAAATTGCTTATATATCTATTAGAAAATGCTAGTCTACGAAGTTAAGGAAATCTTTCTTGAGGAAGTAACCTGCCATTTTACCCTGATTGTCAGGGCTGTTTAGAGTTAACAGCAGAATGGTTAAAATGGCAAAAGTGAAGGAATGCTTGGTTGTCACAAAACTACCTTAAACATTTTAGATAATAAACAAGTTGAAGTGTTTTCAAATTTTTAATGTGCTAATGTATTGTTACTTCATCAGAAATTTCATTTTAGATGTGATTTTTCCATTTTCAGCTTAAGTTTTACTCATTTCAGAGAAACCCTGCGATTTTCCAACTGTGCAAAATGGAAGGATTGCCCAATATTACTATACTTTTAAAAGTTTTTACTTTCCAATGAGAATAGATGCAAAGTTGCCATTCTTTTGCTTGGCTGGTTATACAACTGAAAATGGAAAACAAGAAGGGCGAGCCAAATGTACAGCAGAAGGCTGGTCTCCAGAACCCAGGTGCTTCAGTAAGTCAGCACGTTGTATTCCCACAGTGATTCAGGGCTGCACTGCAGTAAACTAGCTCATAAGAAGATAATTCATTTAAGATATGTAAAGTGCTTAATTCTTTCATTAGACAAGAACAAAACTATCTTTTTATGAAGTTCTATACCTGAAATTCTGTAAATAATGTTTTATATTAAAATATTTTGTTTATTTTTAATAAGACCTTATGAAGGGGAAAGGATAAGTGAAATTATCATTTGTCACATTGCATGTGATGGAGATGCAACTGAGTTACTTTAAGTAATGAAGAATCTATTATATGCATTATTTTTCATAGGAAGCCAGAAATATGCTTAAGACTCTGGCATCAGTAAGATATAATTGCTTTATTATTTGCAAACTTCTCACTGTTTTGCATGCAGCTTTTCTTGTAATATGCATTAAAGTGCATGTTTGTCTAAATTTTGCACTCTATTTTGTGAGACAGTGTTATGATGGGTTCATTATATTATGTTTTGCTACAGTCAAATTATTAATTGGCTGTATAAATTCTCTTTTGCTAAGAATTTTCTAAGATCTCACTACCAGAATAAGAGACCGTGAGTAAGTTTCATTTGTAAAAGTTGGATATCATTAAAATATCTAGTAAGCTCATCCTTTTGGGATAACTACCCATACCCTGACTTTAGGACAGGCTGTAACATTGGCATTGCATTTTTTGTATTAACATAAAACAGATTAACACTAATAAATGAATCTCATTTATAAGTATGAAAATAACCTTAAAGTTTATTATTAAAAATTATTTTTGTTTGGAAGATAGAACCATTAAATAGGATCCAGAAGAGATTAACATGGGAGATAGTGTGATGCTTAAGATATAATGTGGGAAATCAGGGCAACTTCTTGTGAATCCAGCTCTGCTGCTACAGAGATGATTCAAACATTCTGACTCGAAGTTTCTCATGTATAAAGCAGGGTTAAATTAATATATTAGTTTTAGGCTTGAATAAGTCTCATAACCCTTCTGCACTGGTTTTATAAGAAATGACAGAATTCCACATGAAGCTAAAAATTTTATTTCATGCATTACTGTTGCAAGAATTTTCTAAAAAATCTGTAAACTCAAAGGTTTTTCAGAACATATCTGTGATTTACTCACATACTGCATGGACTATTGAGTTTTGTGAGGCTAGGTACACCTGAATTATTTGCTGAAAAAAGTGAACTAAGTCTTCGTATTAAAGTATATGTTTGTAAAATAATTTAAGGATCTATTAAATAGAAGTGTTTTCTTATATTATCAAACATATTAAAATCTTAAGAAATAGATCTAAAAGAAATTATTTCTATCTACCAAAAAGACAATTAGTAGAAGGAATTGGGATGTGTTTTATAAAAATAGATGTGTTAAAAAAAGTAGATGTGCTAAGGGAAGAGAGTATAAAGAAAGCAAATGAAAATAATCTATTTCCAAAGAAATTTTATGCAGGATATGAAAGATATTTTCAAAATTAGACCATGGAATTGTGGAGTAAGAATTATTTGTGTCTCTCCTTCAAAATCTAACAGAACAATATTATATTTTGCCTTAATTTTACCTTTATATAAAGATAAGCTTAATTTCATCATAATGTTAAACGAAGAAATTTTCTCCGTCATAGAAAAATGTACTAAGCCTTACCTGACAAATGGTTACATTGCTGATGAAAAGTTATTGTACAAATTTCAAGAGAATATGAGTTACAGTTGTGCCTCAGGATACAAAACCACTGGAGGAAAGGATGAAGAAATGATTCAGTGCCTTTCTGATGGATGGTCTTCTCAACCATCCTGTACAAAGGAACACGGTATGTGTATAAGAATCATTTCCTATATCTGAACTTAAGAGCTTGTGGGGCTAGTAATTTCTTCTTTGGCTAAGCACTTCTATTCAACATAATTTATTTCCATTTTGTCTGAAAATGTGGGAAGTTAAAATGTTTTTCTCAAATGCTTAGTATTTTCTTAATCCATGGGTTCTCAACTGCTATAACTACTCCTGTAGCTTCTGCTTTGAATTAATAAAAACGGATTGAAATAGAATAAAATGAAACAATCTTAAGTACATATGTCATTGTTTACAGGATAACTACCTAGAACATTTTAAACTGCTTGAATTGTACAAATACACAGATGACATAATATCATTATTTCATAAGATTTTTTGAATTGTAATCATTGGTCAACTACAGTGAATGAACCAGAACTCCCAGGAATAGAGTAATAGAGGCAAAAGAGAACTTTTGACAATTATAAAATTTTATTGTTATGATTCAGTAAAAATGTATTACAATATTTTAGGTAATTGATGAAGTTCATAAAATAAGTGACTTTAATTTTTTTAGAAATATGCTTAGCTCCTGAATTACATAATGGAAATTATTCCACAACACAGAAAACATTCAAAGTGAAGGACACCTTGCAATACGAGTGTGCTGCCGGCTACTCCACAGCTGGAGGAAAGCAATCAGAGGAGGTTGAATGTCGTGCGTCCGGTTGGTCTCTAACACCAAAATGTACCAGTAGGTTCTCACTTGGAGTAAAATTTATTTTCACTCTGAAAAATGTCTCTCATTAAGTAGTGTTTATAAGTTGTCATGCTAATTCCTTTTCAAATATTTTGTTCTTAGTTTCAATTACGTTGACTACGTAGGCTTTGGTTGTTTTAAGTTTTCAAATAAAAAAGTACATTTTAGCTAACAGAATTAAAATAAGCCTAATGCTATTTGAAAAATATATAAAATTAATTCATAGGCTTTTACTAGTTAACTGACAAATTTATTTGTTTCTCTTCCAGATATGACATTTAAATAGTGAATTTTGTTCCAGCTAGAAAAATAAATACTTCTTTGTATTTTCATTCATTCTTTCATTTTTAGGATTAAAGTGCTCTTCTTTAAGATTAATAGAAAATGGATATTTTCATCCTGTAAAGCAAACCTATGAGGAAGGAGATGTAGTTCAGTTCTTCTGTCATCAAAATTATCATCTGAGTGGGTCTGACTTAATTCAGTGCTATAACTTTGGCTGGTACCCAGAATCTCCTGTATGTGAAGGTAAATTTTTAAATTTCATGCCCAGACCAATAACATCTCATATCTTCATCAACTTTAATTTCTATGAGATTTGAGAAATGTCTGTGGAGTGTTACCTAATCCTAGCCTTGAGTACTACATTTAAAATAAATGTTTTTTGATCAACAGTGTCAGCAATCTTTATCCCATCTGAAAATCTTTAACATTTGTATTAATTAGTATACTAGACATATCTTCTAGATTTAGTATTTTGAAATTTTGTCTTAAACTTAAAATCTCTTATTATAGTGAATAGTTTTTTAAATTTGGAATAATTAGATCAAACTACCCCAAGTGAGCAGCTTTGTGAGAATGCTTTCTTATTGGCCACATATTTCTTGAAGCAAAAATTCAAATTCCAAAATAATGAATTAAGGAGTATCAGGAGCAGAATATTACAGTAACAAAATGGAAAATAAGGCCAGCTAACAAGAACGATTCAAAATGTAAGAGTAAAGGCTGTATTTTTATCACTGGTGTGTTCAATAAAATTAGGAACATTGCTTAGACATCAGTGATTCTAAGTGTGTGTGTGTGTGTGTGTGTGTGTGTGTGTGTGTTTGTAAGAAAGAGAGACAAAGAGACAGAAAGAGATAGAAAGAGCGGGAGAGAGAGAGAGACAGAGAGACAGAGAGAGAAAGAGAGAATTCACAGAAGTGCTGGATAGAAAAGTAAAAAACTGACTTTCCTTTAAAATTTCCAAAAGGAATATAGCATTCCTGACCCCTTAATTTTAGCTCAGTGAAACTGATTCTGGATTTTTGGACTCCAGAACTATAAGAGAATTAATTTGTACTCCTTCAAGCCATCAAATACCAGCAAATTATTACAGTGACAAAAGGAAACTAATATAATCAGCATTTTATAGTGAAAATGGATTGTAATTCAGATACATATGGGCTCAAGAACAGATTTATCACCTGTTATGAATTTACTTTGGAAGCTTGAGTTTCTTTTTAATATATAAGAAATAATAGTGCCTACTATCTAAGACTAAATATGATTACTGTGAAATGCTCGCTGCTTTATTATCCACTTTATCATTTCATCAGTGAATAGCATTGCTGCCACAAACTCAGCAGGTTCAAATCATACGAGTGCATATTTCAGTTTCTGTAGGTGAGGAGTCTGGCTGTAGTCTGTTGGCTCATCGGCATCATAGTCTAATGACTGCAATCAAGATAGACCAGAAGTCTCACCTAGCGCTTGGTTGTGAATAATCGTCCAAACTCACTATGGCTCTTGGTAGTATTTAGTGATTGGCAGGCCACTGAATTTGAGAGCCCTAGTTTCTTGTTGGCTGTCACTCGGTGGCAGCCTCCTGCCCCTTGTAAAGTAGCTTTCTCTATTTGAAAGTTTACAATGTGATCATTTGCTGCTTCAAAACCATTAGGAAGAGACTGTGTTTTAGTAAGAATGGCCTTGCAAATTGATGTTGCATAATCATGTATATATAAAATCATGAATTCTTCATGTTGATTGTATACTATTAACAAGAAGCAAGTCAAAGTCTCACACGTGGAGAGAGATGTTATTCAAGGAAGTGAATTCTGGGGCATGGATGTCACAGAGGTGTTCTAGAATCTGTCAGACATACATTCTATGTTGCTTGACGTTGTGATCTAATTAAATCTTTGCTTTTTGCATTGTCTAAACCTGCTGATACTTTTCCATAAGGAAGAAGAAATAGATGCCCTCCTCCACCTCTGCCTCTCAATTCCAAAATTCAAACATATTCAACAAGTTACCGCCATGGTGAAATAGTTCACATAAAATGTGAACTTAATTTTGTGATCCAGGGCTCAGAAGAAATACGTTGTGAAAATGGAAAATGGACAGAACCTCCCAAATGCATTGGTTGGTAACATATTGAATAAACTTTTCCTGAAATGAAATCTGCATATATATCCAAGTGGTCTCTTCTCTTTAAAACTTTTTCAGAAGAGAAGGAGAAGGTTGCTTGTGAGGAGCCACCCTTCATTGAGAATGGTACAGCAAATGTGCACTCTACAGTTTATTACAATGGGGATAAAGTGACATACAGATGTGACAGGGGCTTCCGCCTGCGTGGATCAAATGAGATAACTTGTAATCGGGGAAAATGGACACCTCCCCCTGAGTGTGTTGGTAAGTGCACTACAGATAACATCAATACACACATAACCCTCTAGGGCAATTTTTTATTGTTTATCTACAATTTTTTTATTGTTTATTTTATCTACATAGAGGCCACTGCTTATTTAAGTTAGAAGCACTTTGCTATTGATTTATATTCTGCTACTTGTTTGGATGTATGGAGCTATCTGTAGAATTCAAGTGAATGTCAATAAATAGGAAGGTAAAAATAAATAGCTTTGTGAAAAGCACTGCTGTTTGACATGTGTAAGCACCATAGCCGATGAGTTTTAATGGTTGCATTAATTGAATATGAACTTCATTAGAGAAGCAAGTAAAGGCAGGTTGAGCTGAATGACTGGTCATGTGCACGACTGACTTCCTTTCCCTGGAGGTCCCACACTTAGTATAGAACACTATGATGTTGTGGTAATGTTTGAGTAATTCCCGCTGATGTCACTTGGGCACCTCGCCTTTCTGAACTTAATCCCCTCTGAAACACTTTCCAGTTCTTCGGTTTTGCTGAAAAGTACCACCAGACTACACTCCTGAGCAATATACCTTCCTACCCTTCTCACCTTCGATCCGATATTGAAGAGGGTTCCACAAATATGTTTACCTCGGATAAAAATTTTATAAGATAGAAGCTGTAAAGTGTGCCAACTAAATTAGCAAAGATGAAGAAGATCCTAGAGGAAAATATTGACATTTTAAACAATGAGTTAAATGAGAATTGAGGTCTTGCTCTTGAATAGATAATACCGAAGGAAAATTTTAGAATTGATCAAAATCTTTAAATTGAAGAACATAATTTCCTTTCTGTACATTTTAAGGATATCTTTATCATAATTCCTTCACAATCAAGAGATGGTAAAAATATAAATATATGCCCTTACTGTGTTTTCTTTTTTTTCACTAAGGCAGAGTCTTGCAGTTCAGTCTGGCCTCAAGCTCATGCCAATCCTCCTGCCTCAGCCTCAGAGTGCTGGGATTACAGGCATGCATCACCACACCCGGTTTACTGTGTATTCTTGTTTAGTAAATTTTTTGAAAATATAGGAGCTTTCTTTCATTACTGATGAATTTAGAATAGAAGTCAATTGCCTAAGTTATATAGTATACATATTAAGCTACTTTGGGTTACTATCGTTACATCATTATAGATTTTATTAATTTGAAAATAATCTCTTCCCTTAGAAAATAATGAGAATTGTAAGCCCCCACCTGAAGTAACAAATGCGGCTATTATTGATGGGTTATTGTCAAGTTATACAACAGGATCCTCGGTGGAATATAAATGCAATGAATATTATTTATTGAAAGGATCAAAAACATCTCAGTGTGAACAAGGAAAATGGTCTTCCCCACCTGTTTGCTTGGGTAAGAAAGAGAGTACATTGAATGTCTTTTATTATTACACTTGTGTTTGTATGTGATTTTCTTATAATATAGTTCTTTTATTTTCTCAAATGTTTCACTTCTCATTTATTTAAGTAGAAAATCTCTAGTATCTTAGTTCCTGGGGCTATCACAATCATCTTAATTTGAAGGGCAATTGTCCCTTCCCCAAATCCTGTTGATAGTCCCTCTTCTCTAGTCTCTATTAAGCTATAGCATATTTTATATATTTTATAGCATATTTTATATGCTATAGCTTAAAGATGTTCTCAAGTTATAAAATTCGTGTATTTATTTTATTATTAGTTTTTGTGGAATTTCAATTACAGAGTAAACTCTGTGAGGTCACAGGTATTTGTTTATCCATTGACAGGGATTGAGTGGACAGTTGTCTATACTATTTGTACTTCAAGTTTATTATTTCATCAAAAGTAAATCATGGTTAACCTAACTGGCTGATGGACTGAAACATTATTTTTAATGTTTCAAGTTAATTTATTTTAATGTATGACATAATGACAATAGTAAAAATGTATAAATTGATCCATTTGATAGTAATGAAGTATTACTTTATTGTTTGTATGTGCTCGGAGCTTTAATAATGATGTCAAATGTAAAATATCATTTTTTGATGCTTGCTATAATCTTTATTTTACAAATGTCACTTCCATATTTGTCATATGAGTAAAGAATTTAGAACATTTGTTTTTCAGAGCCATGCACCATTGCTGTGGATTCTATGGACAGAAATAACATAGAGATGAAATGGAAATATGAAGGAAAGGTCTTACATGGAGATTTAATTGATTTTGTCTGTAAACAAGGATATGACTTGTCTCCGTCGAGCCCACCGTCAGCGTTATCTGTGCAATGCAATAGAGGAGAAGTGAAGTATCCGTTATGTGTTAGAAAAGGTAAAATGATAATTCTTATAGCAACTATCTATTCATAGATTTTAACCGGTAGTTTTTCATCTTCTTTTCTCATGTCTATAAATTGGGAGTAATCCAACTTCCAATTTCCAACAAGAAACTTCACTTAAATGAGAAGACTAAGGTGATATATATTAATTTAAAAATATCAGTTTTATGAAGGCGAAAGGTGAAGACATTTTATAAATATCACCAGGATTGGTTATCCTCATATCACTACTCAGCAACTCTGCAAAACATCACTACTTAGGGTTGCTAGGCACTATTTTCTCAGAAAGTATTTTGATATAGAATGTGATCCTGGTTACGGAGATCTTCCTTGGTTACAGAGATTCTTCCTTGTAATTTTTTTTGCTTGCACCAGGAGTCTTTATTAGTTGCAAGGTCAAATGAAGGGGAATTCAACAGATCCAACTCTGAGGCCATCGTTCTCAGAAGTTGCACTCTTTTTTTTTTCTTTTTCTTATTTTATGGCAGGGGTTCACTAGTTAGTTCAGGATGGTCTTGAACTATTTATTACTTTTAACTTGAAGAGAGGTAGGTAATACTACAGTAAGCAAGAGCCAAGAAAGATCTCATACACTTTCACTTTCATATATATAGAAACAGAAAGTTAAAGCAGTGATAGTATTTGATAGCTGTAAATGTGTACTTAAATTTTTAACATGGGATTCTAAATATAATAAATTTATAGCATGACATAATTGCAGAATTATTTCCAATATATAAAATATTGGAGAACTGCTTCAAATGACTTTAATACAGTGAACTGCTCATTTTATTTCTTTAACAATTATTAAAGGACTGTGTGCAATTCATTTTGGCTTTAAAATCATTTTTCAGAATATAAAGGATTATGTATACTTCCTCCAGTTATAAAAAATGGAGTCATGGTTAGTTCAAAAGTAGACACCTATGAGAATGGCTCCTCTGTTGAATACAGATGCTTTGATCACTATTTTCTACAAGGATCTAAGGAGGCCTATTGCATAGAGGGAGCATGGACTACACCACCATCGTGTTTAGGTATGTATGATATTACTAAATATTCTTCTGTGTAATGAGGTAAAATGTCATTGGAGTTAATATGACACTAATGTTTAATTTGTTGTATTTTTAATTTTATTACTATTCCTATGTTGTCACTGGCTCCTATTCTTTCCTCTAGATTATGAATAACTGTAGTCCAATTTACTTCAATAAATCCTTGTTAAGTGCAAGCCATGCATCAGGTACTAGTTTGTTGTTTAAGTTATCAGATGTGTAAATGGAAGAAGTGTGGAAAAGCATGTTAGCAATTATTGTTCAGTGTAAGTGGGACTACAGTAGAAAACATGAGTACACTAGGGGAACAAAGAAATGGCTTCCCCAATATGGAAAGATGAAGCAATACAATGCCTTCATAGCAAGGATGTCTACTAGAAACTACCAACCACATTTACCAGTATTCTCAGAACATAAAGAACATATCTGTGAATAACAAGAAACTGGCTCTTTGTTTCCAATTCTGATTTATTTCAATAATGCATCTTTAAGTCTGGTATTATGTGTACTTTTAAAAAGTTATATTAAATATAAAGAAACATTCTATTACTAGTTCACAAAAGTATTTTTAAATTACCTCCAGTGGATATTTAATTTTAGCAATATCTGTTGGAATAATCAGATGATTATTACTTTTGTTCTATATGTTAAGTGAATTTTATTGCTCTTTTAAAGCATTATTATATTCTCAAGAAATTCTGCATGATTGTGATGAATTAGGCTCAGTACAAGATGGCAGGTTTTACTTGCTTATATCCTATTTGGGAGTTTTGCTATCAATTTTCATGAGAGAAATTGGTCTGTTGTTTCTTTTCAGTTTTGGTGTGAAATTTCTACACTTATACAATGAATTGAGAAGTGTTTTTTCTCTTTTTCAATTATCTGGAATCTGAGATATTCTGATAGGTGTATTTCTTTGTTAATAATTGTTAATAATTTACAAAAAAGTAAGGTTGCCTCTGAATTTTCTTTGTGGAAAGATTTCAATGATCGCATGTATGTATGTATTAAGTTGTTTCTTTTGTCAGTTTTGGGAGGGAGGCTATTTTTTCCCTTTAAAATTTGTCCCTTACATCTAGGTTGTCAAAAATACTTGAATATATTGATTTTTGATATTTTTATACACACTTTAAATGTTTTTATCAATGTATCTCTTTTTACTGTATTTTTTTTCTTGGCAGACTTTCTATCAGTCTTGTTAGTCAACATCTAATGAAAGTTGTCTATGTACTTTGATAATCATTCAAATGTTTTTATTTCAATGACATTTTGCTCTTTGTTTTATTATTTCCTCTTTAATTAGTGTTATCTTATTACACATTTTCTTGTTTAAATGGATATCTAGGTTTCAATTTGGTTTTCATAGTTTTTTAAATATACGAAATTAAATTTCATTCTGAGTACAACTTTAATTTCATCCCACAAATTTTTGTTTGTGTTTTGTTTCTGTAGTACTGAGGATTAAACATAGGACCTTCACACTGAGCTATAAATTTCCAGCCCTTTTGATTTTTTTACTTTGAGACAGTGTCTCCCCAAGTCACCAAGTTTCCTAGGCTGGGCTCAAGCTTGTGGGCTTCCTACCTTGACCTCCCAGAGTGCTAGGATTGCAGGTATATGCCATCAGTCCAGTTTTCACGAGTATTTTGGTACTTTGTATATGGACTATTGTCTACTTCAAAAACTTTTATAATATCCATTTTAATGCCTTCTGTGTGCTCTGAATAAAGCTTTACTCATTAGGGGGATTTTCGAGGTTTCTATATTTTTGGTAATTAACTTTACAAGCATTTGTGTTTTATTAGGTCAGTATACTTTTGTTTGTGTCGGTTGAGACAGAGTTTAGCTTTTTAGTCCAGGATGGCCTTGAACTCAATGTATAGCCCAGGCTAGCTTCAAACTCTGAGAAATTCTCCTGCCTCAGCCTCCCAAGTGCTAGAATTATAGGCATGTGTCACCACTCCGGGCTATACTTTTGCCTTTGACTCTCTTGGTGTTGGATTTATTGTTTCATATATGTTAATGGTGTTGGGTTTGATTTTTCTTTTTTAATAAGTTCATAGAGATACTGATTTGTGATTTGTTATTTTCTTGTCAATTACTAAAAGGAGTACTTTGATTCTCTCTATGCTTTTAAAAAACATTTCTCCTTTCATTTTTACTAGCTTTTGATTTTATATTTTAATGCTATTTTAGTAGGTATACAGAAATTGAAATATGTTAAATTTTGATATATTGGACTTGTATAATTTAAAAGACCTTTTTATCTACAGAAATGTTTTTGCTTTGTTTTATTGTCTTGGAGTTTGCATTCCCTGAATCACAGAGCTTTGACAAGTATTTTCCTAGTATACACTTCCCTTCTTTTTACCTTCAATCTTAGATTTTTTTTGGTCTTTTTGGGACAGGGTCTCCCTATGCAGTTCAGGCTGGCCTTGAGCTCACTTTGTAGCCCAGTTTAGTTTTGAACTTGCAACAATCATCCTGCCTTAGCCTCCTAAATCCTGGGATTACAGGCATGTACTACCACTCCTTGGCTAACCTTAAGAATTTTTACTTTTAAGTGTTCATTTCTTAAAAGGAATTTATTTCAGGTTTATTTAAAAATATATTTATTTAATCTGACAATATTTTCTTTAAAATGAGGTTTTAAGTTCATTTACTGATATATTTGACATTAGCACTACCATTTTATTATACTAGACACAATTCCTTCTTTCTCTTCTTAAAATTAATTTTTGTTATATTATTTTGTCCTCATAAGCTTAATTATACTTTATTCCAGTGTTCCCTTAATTGTTCTCACCAAGATTATATATACAACCTCAAGTTTTACAATCCAGTATAAATTAGTTCTTTTATCACTTATCTAGGATACTAAGATGTTTCACCTTTATTTAAAAGTTCCAGTTTTGTGATGTTTTCCATTTTTATATCTCTGTGAGATGTATTCTAATTCTACATATAATTGAAGTTCCAGAGATTTTTTAACCTTCTTATTGGGTCAATAATATTCTTAGGTTTACCTATATATGTATCAATGAAGTTGCCCTCATCCTTTCTAGTTTTTTTTTTCTTTTAATCCCTATGATTATTTCACTTGGCCCCAAAATTATGTAATTATTATTTTGTGGCTTTAGCTTGCTTGTAAATATCTTTGTTCTTCTTCAGTTTCAATGGGTCTTTGTTTCTCTTTTTTCCAGTGCTAATTACTTACTTAGTTAAACCTTGTCTTGATCAAAAGTGTAATCTCATAAAAATATTTTTAAAATTTTTTTCTTGCCTTTTTTGGTATATATAGAAAGGGTAATTATCATTACAAATTTGAATGCAATCGGAACTGCGTGTGGATTTGTTTTTTATCCATTACTACCTTCCCTTCTCTCCTCTTTTTGATCTCCTTCTTTTTGCTTAACAGCATCCCTTCTGCTTTCATGTTATTTTTTTTATTTCACATATGAGGAAATACACAATCCATGTCTGTTTAAGTCTGTCTTACTTTCCTTCACATGATGATCTCCAGTTCTGTTTTGCTACAAATGACATGATTTTATTTCATATTTCAGTCTAAGAAAGAATGGAACATGATGTTCCAAAGAAATAGGACCCAAAAGTACGGAGGGGTACCCAGACTCACATCTGACAAAGCAAATTGCAAGACAAACTAATTATAGGAGACAAAGAAGATCACTATATATTGGTACAGGGAACACTCCAGCCCAAAGATAACAATTGTAAATACATATGTACTGAACATTGGTGCATTTGATCTCATAAAACAAGCACTAATAGTCATAAAAGGACAGTCATCAAAGAATAATAGTGAGTGACTTTAATACCCCAGACATCATCCAGACAAAAATAACCGCAAAGAAATTTCTTTTCTTTTTTGTCTTTTTCCTTTTTATCGGTACCAGGGATCGAACTCACGAAAGAAATTTCAAAGTTAAACTACAGTATAGACAAATGGATTAAAAGTCATGTAAAGATCATTTCACTGAAAAATTGCAAAATTCACATACTATTCAGATCATAAAACATCTTTCACATAAATCATATTTTAAGTTATAAAGCAAGTCTTAGCAAGGACAAAAAAATCATTGTTTCTTGCAACATCAGATCAGAATGGGATAAAATTAGAAATCGCTGGTAAGAGAAAGCCTACATAGACTGAACAATACATTTTTGATGAAATCAAAGGAAAATATAAAAATTCCTAGACCAAATAAAAATTTAAAAACAGCATACTGGAATTTGGGATACAGCAAAATAATTCTAAGAAAGAAATTTAGGACTATTGGTGCATAATGCTGAGGATCTCTAATAAATTAAAAATTCTGAGGAACTCAAATAAATAACTTAATAATATAGGTAAAGGTCTTAGGAAATCAAGAAGTTCAACCTAAAGCCAGTAAAGAAAAAAAAAAAAAAACCCACAATGAATCAAAGCTGTAATCAATAAAACAGATTTAAAGAACAATATAAAAGTTCAGTGAAATAAAACATTGTTAGTTTAAAAAGAGAAACAAGATGGATACATCTTTATACAGCTAACCAAAATAAAGAGGTAAATTAGTGAAATTAAAAGAATCAGAAGTGAAAAAGGAGATGTTACAACAGATAGCATTGAAATCTGGAGGCTCCTTAGGGACTATTTTGAAAACTTACATTCTAATCATTTGGGAATATAGAAGAAATTAATAAATTTCTAGACACATAGGGCCTCCCCAAAACAAACCAAAAGGATAGATAAACCCTAAATAGATCAATAATAAGCAATGAGGTTTAAGAAGTAATCATCTCCCATGAAAGAAAAACCAAAGATTAGACAAATTTACTGCTGTCTTTTATGAAACTTTTAAAACAAAACTAAAACCAAGGCTCCTCAAGCCATTTCAAGAAAATAAAAAAAAAAAAAGAAAAAGAATACTTTCAAAGTAATTCACTAAAGCCAGCATCATTTTGATACCAACATCAGATAAGAACACAACAAATAAGCCATAGATGGCTCTCCTTGGTAAACATAGAAATTCTTGCAAGTTGAATTCAACAACACCCTGAAAAGATCATACATTGTGATCAAGTTGGTTTCATTTTAGATAATGCAAGAATGGTTCAAAAACACAAATCCAGTGTAATACAGTACATAAATGGATAAAGAAAATCACATGATCATTTCAATAGAAGCAGAACCTGTGATAAAATCCAGCATTACTTTATGATAAAAGTTCTGACAGAATGAGGTGTAGAAGGATCTTAGTTCAACATAATAAAAATTATACATGAGAAATGCAAACTCAGAGTCATACCCACTAAGGGAAAATTGTGAGCAGTTCCTCTACAATTGGGAGCAATACAACAGTGTCTACTCTCACCAATTTTATTCAATATGGTACTTGAAATTTTAATCAGAGCCATCAGGCAAAAGAAAAATAAAAAGGAGAAACAAATAGGAAAGGAGGAAGTCAAATTGTTATTGTTTGTGGATGATATGATTCTCTATTTACAAAACTTTGAAGTCTCAACCAAAAGACTATTAAAACTAATATTTACAAATGCAGCAACTAACAGGGTGCAAAACCAACATACAGAAGTCAATAGCTTATGTATACCAGTAAAGAATCCATTGAGAAAGAAATCAGGAAAAGAGTTACCAAAGAGGTGAAAGGCCACTACGAGCAAAATTATAAAACATGGAAGAAAGAAATTGAAGAAAACTGTGTTGGTCACTTTCTTGTTGCTGGGAAAAAATAACCAATAACTACAATTTAAAAGACTAGAGGTTTATTTTGGCTACTGCTTTCAACTCATGCTTGCTGGGTCCAAGGCAAAAACAACCTAAAGAAAGGAGCTGAGTAGAGGATAGTACTTGTTCCATGGCAACTAGGATGCTGAGAGAACGGAGGAGCTGGGCAGGAATACAACCCTTCTAGGTCACACCTGCAAGTGACTTGCCTCTTTGACTAAGCTTCACCTCATAATAGCGTAGTCAGCCCCTCTGTGCCAATTACTTAACCAAAACCTCAGCTCTGAACACAGAAGGGTTTACAGGGACATTCTATCCCCAAACCATAACAAAGACACTTAAAGCTGGAAAGACCACCAATTTCATGGGTTGGCGGAGTTCTTGAAAAGGGCCGTATCATTGGTGAATATTTTTTCTGATGTGGATTCTAGCTTGATTCTTAATTTATTTTTATGCTTTTAAAATGTTTTTTATTCTTTTTAAAAAGAAAATAAGTATTTTTGTTCAGTATCACTCAAAACTTTTTTATTGGTAAAATTATAGAGAATAATAGCTTTGTTGTGGCATATTCAAGCCTGTATATATCATACTCTGATTCAAGTTTTATAGTGTTTGTTAGATAATTAAATATCATTTTTAACTGAAGTTCTTGAAAGCTATGTATCCTTTTGTGCTGACTTTGAGGTTTTTCCCTTATTTTCATCAGATTATTGGACTAAATATGGGTTATTCTTCAAGTTGTTAGTACTTTTGAATCTTGAAGTACTTGATGTCTTTTGTAGGTTTTAGAAACATTTGGCTAGTATCTCTTCAAAAACTACTGTTATTATATATTCCATCTTCATTGTTTCTGTGATTCCATAGCATATATCACATCATTTTGCTGTAATCATCTTTTTAAACCCGTATTTTTCTCTTTTACTTTCTATTTAACTTTTGCAATTTTATATTGATTTTGGAAATTTTCTTTTTAAAAATCATCTCTTTGTTTTAATCTGTATTTTTTCCAGTTTAATAATCTTCCTTTTAGATATGCTCAGTCTCCTTTAAATTTATGTGAGGTCTCAATAGATTACGTTTTTGCTTTCTAGAATTTGCGCTTCATACTTTTTTTTTAAATTTCACATGCCTGATGAAGGATTCCTTTTTGATGCCAAGTTTTTGACTATATAAATTGCAATTATCTTTAAATCTTGTATGGACAGTCCAATATTAGTGTTATCTTTTAGGCATATTTCTATTTTCTAGCCTCATTTGATATTTCTATTAATAATTGGTTGATAATCAAATATGCCGAAAATTTTAGGAGTTTAAGGCTATGTTATTGTACTCCACATACTACTCATCTCATCCTCTGGCTAAAGATTGGACTACTGACAAAACCTTAGTCTCAATCTAATTGAAAATGAACTTTCTAGTCTTTATTTTCAAAAATGTGTTTGCACATAATCATGGAATGTAACCTTTCATGGTTCCGTAGTTTGGTTTGTATGCCTCCTTCTTGATCAATGTAACAACTTGGAGACTGCCAAATGCCGGGTGTAGCTTTTTATTTCATTTGCATGGCTATTTATCCCCTTCTGCACCAATTAAGGATCAGCAAATAATTCAAAGGAAAGACAGTGCAGAGTAACAAGCTCATTTTTACATACTTATTCCTCTGAGTCTTCAAATCATCGAGTCTTGGCTGCCTTGGCAAACCCAAACTCCTATGTTTATATTTCCAGCCCTATGAGATTTTCACAAGTTTTGCTGGCTTTATGCATATTACCAACGTTTCTAGTCTTTTAGCTCAGCTGAGAATCACCAAACACATTAGCAAGAAAATATCATGTAGATTGTTGAGCTCATCTAAATGAACTGTTTTCTAGAACTTTAGCTCTTTGACTTACTTGGAGATTCTTTTATTCCTTGGAATACTTTTTATTGTCTGTTTTCCAGATTTTCTAGACTGTGGTGGGATGTTGGTTTGATGTAAGTCACTATCATAGCTGAATGCAGACAATCTCTGAATGAAGTTTAATTAAAATTGTATGATCACTGTTGTTTCATAAACCATTGGCATTCTACACGAGAGCCTTGCATTGCCCTCTGTGTGTTACTTCAGCCGTGGCGGGGGAGCTTTGAACCCAGGGCCTTTTTTCTGAGCCTCATTTTCAGCTCTCATTTATTTTTTCTGATTTTAAGACATTGTGTAAGTTACTAAATTGTCCAGTCTGATCTCAAACTTGCAATCTTTTGGACTAAGTTTCTCAGAGTGCTTGAATTAAAGGTATGTGCAACTATTATTGTTCTATTTAATCTCATTTTAAAAACTATTTTACAATAAGCCCAAAGGTTCTAAACAGTCTTTTCAATAATTGCTACTCATATTATTGTCTATAAGTCTAAATCATAATGCTAGACTCATAGGCATTCAATATGTACTTGGAAAAAATATCTGAAATATCTGAATAAGTCAGTGTGTCTATTTTTTACAGGAATATGAATGATACATTGTATTAGGAATCTTGAATCTTTTTTCTGTCTCAGAAGTTACTCCTTAATGCCAGATCATTCAAGAGGCAAAGACACACACACACACACACACACACACACACACACAAACACAATATTCATGAAATATTTTTTTGTTTGAAAATTTTAAAACTCAGTATTTTATCATGGGATGTCCTGACCCACGAGTAAGTCAATGGAGACCATACAGGAGGAGTGGGGATGAGAAAAGAGACAAGAAATGTGAAGAATGGAGACAAGACAGTGCTCTGATCAAGTCTCGTGTATTCAAAGAAAGAGTAACGAATATATAGGGTATTGGGGAAGGGGCTGGGTTCAGACACATCAGCAGGTAACTTAGCAACAGCAGGAAGTTCTAGCGAGAACAGGGGCTATAGGATAATTTGAATCTCCCATGGGCCAATAAGGCAGGCTAATTAGCATAATCTCTCTGTACAGGACGAACCACAGGGACATGTGACAGGCTAGGTGAGGAGAGATGGAAGCTTAACTACTAAATAGAAACTTAACATTAAGATGTCTGTTATCGGGGGCTGGGGATTTAGCTCAGTGGCATAAGCGCCTGCCTTGTAAGCAGGCAGTCATGAGTTCGATCCCTGGTACCGATAAAAATGAAAAAGACAAAAAAAAAAAAAAAAAAAAAAGATGTCTGTTATCTTATTAACCTAAGATGACGGCCAATTGCAGGGTTTCCCACAATGGGAAAAATAAAAGAATTTTTTTGAATATCCTAACACTTAGAAATTTTTCTTCTGTTTTGTTCTAATATATTCAGAAAAGAACACAATAAACTTTTAGTGTTTATACTTTAAAATATAATCCAATGTTTATATTTTTATCTGGAAATTTAGTAGAGAAAACTGTCAGCTGTTTTGGATAGTATCAGGTCAATAAAGTGTGCTTCAGCTTTGAGACTCTAGCTTGTTTCTATGTTTCCACAAAATATTACACACCCAGTCACCTGTGGTTTCGCTCATGAGTGTTTTTTTGAACTTTTTGAGGAAGACAAATGGAAGCATAGCACAATTTTAATGAACATTAGTGACTTTAAATGCTTGCAGAAACACTTTTTATTCTGTTTGCTGTTTTTATAAAACCTAACGGCATATAACTAAGTGACTGAGAGGATATATTTTCCTTAACCCCAGGCACAAACATGTAAATTGCATAGTATTTCCACATATTTTCTGACTAGAATATTAATTCTAATATTAGAATATTAATTGTAACTTAATTGCCATTCTCTGGAATTTTAAGGTAATCATGAAAGACAGCATAATGATTCCTTTCATTACCAAGATATATCTTCCTTTTTTTAAATCTTTAGAGCCTTGTACATTGTCTTCTGATGAAATGCAAAAGAATAACTTACTCTTGAAATGGCATTTTGACAATAGACCATATATTCTCCATGGCGAGTATGTTGAGTTTCTCTGTAGTAGAGATACTTACACAGTGAACTCATCTACTTTTGGATCGGAGCTTAGAGTACAGTGTGACAGAGGACAGTTGAAGTACCCAACATGTATCTCAAGGGAAAGGTAAGAAGCACCTACAGCGCGACTTTATGTCAAATTTTTATTCAAAAAACTCACTGTTACGAAATTCAGAAATATTATTTCTATAGCACTCTTAAGTTACCAAAAATGAAAAAGAATTATTTTTTTGCTCATTTTTTAAAAAACAGAGCAGAGCCAGAGGTTTAGCTTAGTGGCATAAGCACCTGCTTGGCAAGTGTGAGGGCACAAGTTCGATGCCTGGTACCCCCTCTCCTGCCAAAAAACAGAGCACACTCTTGGAAGTATTGTTTCAGCAAACTTTGTCACTTGCCTGTACAAAGTGCTACTTGCCATTTAATATTTGTGACCCTTGGACAATTGGAAAAATAATCCAATTTGTATGTGCAATATTTAAATGTTACTATATCCAGTGGTATACTGCTCTGTCATAAGCTTGAATCATTGGTAGGAAAATGAATGCATCTTAAAGTTCTACTATGAAGCAAAACAAGTCAGACACATAGCTTAAATATCACATGGTTTCCCTTCTGTGAGAAGCCCAAAATATAAAGAGCAAAGTAAACTATAGATAATAGGTAATAGGGAGATGGATCACTTGCAAAAGGAAAAGACTACTAAGAGTTGGAGATGGGGGAAGGCAGGGAATTAAAATAGAATTGAGGTATGTCATGTGCTGCAAACATGAGCTAATTAAAAATTTTTAAAAATTAAGGCTTGCATTCTGTGTAAAAAAGAAAATAATATTTCTCTTAAGTCTCCATGTCAGTTCGTAGTTCATGTATAACAAATTGAGGTTGGGAGACAAATTTACGAATCTTTCTCCTGAGACAAGACCATATTTATAAGTACTAAAAAATTGTGGCATTTATTTTCAGGATTGCAATTTTTTTTTAAATGGGGTCTCACTACGTAGTCTGGAACTCACTGCGAAGGACAGGCTGGCCTTGAACATAGCGATGCTCCAGCTTTTGTCTCTGTAGCTCTGGCATTACAGGCATGTGCCACCATGCTTGGCACAACCGTATTTTTGTATAAGGATTTGGAATCACTTTCTGCAGTGTTTTCCCAAAAGATAAATTAAATATGTATTTTCTACTTTCTGATAAGTGAAGAATAATCCTGCTCTTAGAAAATACTAAAAGAATTCAAGAAAATGTAACCAGAATTTTTATCTTTTTGTAGATACAATATAAAATAGTTCAGTTCAACTAATGGGAAAGTACAAACAATCAAAGACATGAAGTATCTCAAGATAAATTTTTAGATACTTGTCACACTAGAAAAACTTAGTACACACGAGTGGGAACATTTTTTATCCAAGTAAAATTTGTAAAAAGTTTGTGTAATATTTAAGTGTTTGGTGTATTTTGGATTCCTATTTCAAAGAGAAAAAAATGAGTAAAAACAGGAAAAATTTGTGAATTAGTTTAATAAATGACACTGAGTTTTCAAAAGTGAACCAATGGCATTATTTACCAAGTATTGTTACTTGAATTTATTAGTGTCTCACTTAAACTGATTCACTATGTGAAATACTGAAGTTAAGAGCTTATGATTAATACTAAACTAGAACTGATGCTTATTTGAAAACATTATCTGTTTCTCTTTCTCATCAAGGATTCCATATTTTCAAGAACCTTTAAGGACATAAAATGAGTATCAGAAGAAAGAACAGTATCTCAACACATCATAAAATCCCTATGAAACATAATTTTTAGAAGAAATATGTTGTTAAAACCTCTAGGTATTTACTTCCTTAAAGATTTGAATCTGAACTGCTTCTATTGGACATTCTCTTTATTTATAACTAAAAGCCCAAAATACCATTTCCTTTCCAGCTTGGATGATTGAAAAGTTAATCTAACTGTCACTATATAGCCTTCATCTGTGAAAAACTGATCACATTAATTTATTTCTGTTTCATAATGTTTCTAAGATTGTCTTGAATATATGTGAAAAACATTTGTCATTATCTTCTTTATTAATATTATGATTCTGCTATTTTAATACAATAATTATGTCAATTACTATGTCAACAAACATAGCAATTCAATACAAGAGATTTACTCTTAGGACTTTCTAAATTTAGCAAACCTAAAAAATGAATGAAAATATTTGCCACAAGATTAATAATAAATTTTGGAGGTTTTTGTCTTTTTCTTTTTTATTGGTACCGGGGATCGAACTCACGACTGCCTGCTTGCAAGGCAGGCACTTGTGCTGCTGAACGAAATCCCCAGCCCCAATTTTGGAGGTTTAATGAATTACCTCACATTCAAATATTGTTAAAAGAACACTGTTAAAAAACGAATGACTGTTGCTGTTTTTATGTCTTATATTTTCCAAGTGATTTCTTAGGTTAGATCATTGTTGGAATCATGCATCTTACAAAATATTTTCTTTCATTTCATTTTACTTTTTATGAGTTTCTGTCTGTAATAAATACTGTCTTAATTCCTTGTGTGGAGTTGGTGTATGACCATAACACATCTCAATTCCTTTTTTCATCCCCTTTCCTCACCAACTTAAAAAAAATCTTAAGTCAGTGGGTCCTGCGAGCCAGATGACAGTCTTACTGATACTGAAGTCTGTTGAGATCTGGAAGAGATCACTGTCACCTTCTTGTTTGAAGGAACAGCTATGCTACATGTCTCATTTCAGTTCATTCAAAGACCTAGCAGTAGGGCTCTCTAGATCCTAGGATCCCTATGGGGCTGACTGCTGGCACTAGAAGAGCACATGTTTCCTCTGTAGAAGCTATCCTGTTCATATAACTCAAGATTGTGATAGTATACTTCAGTGCCCTAACACAACATTCATCCATGACATAGCTTCTGAGAAAGAAGCCAGAACAACCTAACTTTATGGATCAACTATTAATGCATTTGATGTTAATCATGTACATTTTAGAATTGTCCTCAAGTTCATAATCATTATTTTATTTAATTTTCTATGGCAAGTTTTCATAGTGATTTCAGTATATTGAAATTTGATTCAAATTTAGTATCTATAGCAAAATATAAATTCTGTTCATCAGTCAATGAACATGACCGAGCAACTATCCCAAGTATTTTAGGGAATGCAGGATTCAGAGATCAATAAAATTCACCTTGTTGTTTTAAGGAACTCTCAAAACAATGAAATACTCAGCAAAAGTGACACACGTGTGCTAGTAAAATCAGAGAGACATACAGGATACCAGGTACAAAACATGAACACAAAGTGTGGCTTGTCCATGGCTTTTCTGCTGACCTCGAGTTGGCAAGCCTTGTTTAATTTGCACTACTGTTTCTTTCCTCAAGGTGGAGCATTGTCAAGTGGCAGTATGTACCCGGTATTGTCTTGTCTGCTGATTATTACCTGATGTACAGATTTTTATGTTGGGAGGAGATAAAACATAATCGGGGGCCAATATGGCTAAAGCTGTCTCTTTGTAAATTCAGAGAGGTGATCAAAATATACAGTGAATATTTAGATTGTTTAAAATGTACTAGCTTTTTTTTTTTTTTTTTAAGATTTTGCTATTTAATCCTCTCAAAATAGTCCCCATTGCTTCAAACACACGTATCCCATTGTTTTTCTTTCTGAAAAACTTCTGGATATTCTATTTCATGAATGAGTCTAGGAGGTGTGGTAAGAAGTTCCAGAAATGTTTCTGTCCACTACCATTCAACCAAAAGGCAAGCTCATTAAAAACTCCATGGTGTGTCTTCATTCACCGGTTCTGACTCTGAGCTTTGGCTCTTCCCCAGAGTTAAAGCAAATATGAAGGTTAAATATTTTGAATCACTCCAGGACATGAGAAAACCATAAGAGCACAACTAAGGACATACAAGAAGACTCCCCGAGCTGCTGAAAAAATGGCAGGAATCATGGGCTAAGTGTATTGGAGGAGAATATTTTGAGGAGGATTAAGTACAGCGTGTCATCTACTGGAATACACTTTAAGTGATTTGAACATTTTCTGTATTTTTGACCATGGCTCATGTCAAATGTCTAAAAATAGAAATATGAAAAGTGAAATAATGTAAGTGTATAGTACAAGGCAGAGTGGTGGCATTAAAGAGGGCACACAAAGTTTAGTGATGGGATAGAACCAGCTGCAACTAAGGCAACTGAAAGGAATAGGCTGAAGAGGTTGATCAAAACCAGAAGATATGAGGCTAAATGTACCAGCTGGGCATCATTAATTAATCAAAAGAAAAAAATTGAGACTGTAGTAGTTTGAAAAATAAATGAAGAGTGTCAAAGATACCAACATAAATGCAGTGGTCTTGTCAATAAGTGGACAGTGAATAAGGAGATAGTGATAGGGAATCTTTTTACATACATTGAAAGACATTTGAGCAAGTTCAAATGAAAAGGAATTAGTGCAGAAAGCCAGGAAGATTCTGGGCAAGTATTGCACGATACCGTAGATTGCAGAGGAGTCCTGAAAAAATGAGAAAAGACGAGAACAAAGGCATAAGTAAGGGGCTGACCCTTGGTGAAAGAAGGGACTAAATTTATGTCTGCAGTGATGTCCTGTGGTTTCTGTTTCCTCTGCGAAGGATAAAAAGTCACTTGCTGAGAATATAGGATGGCTAGATAGTTGGGAGAGAGGTTGAAAAATGAACCCAAATCTAGCAAGCTGGTGTGCCAAATCTGCGATAAAAGTGTCTTTGAATTATTGCTTCGAGTGAATGTGTGAGATGTTGAGGAAAATGTTAAATAATTTTTGGAAGAATTTCATGTTGTAAGATAGTTTCAATCATGGTGGATTTGAAAGTAAAGTTTGCTTAGTTAATTTGCCGTCCTTGTAGTACAGGAACACTAAGTCAAGATCAAAGTATCACTAGCATAATGATCACTCTTAGGGATTCCAAAGCTTAGAAGGGCGCTGCCTGGATCTGCACGGGGAAACTTTAATTTTTCAAAGGGAAGTTAAGAATTTATAGATATCTGTCTTTTTCTTTATAAAAAAGAAAGATCAAAACACTAGCAAACATTATACATTAAACCTGAGTTCAGGGGAACCCAGCATGCTTCCTTTCAGGGAAAGTGCAGAAAACAGAAGTTTAAAAAATCCAACCAAAACTGAGAAGCAGTTTGCCTAATACGTTTCTCCTAAAATCTAAATGGAAGGCTAATTATTAGGAAATATCCAAGGTTCAATTTGACAGTTTGTTTTTATATACTCTCAAGATATTAGAATATAAAGATATAGTTAATAAATTTTCTTAGAATCAAGTACGTTATTCTATGACAAGATATTTTTAAAATTATAATTTAAATATTTGTTGTTTTTATAAGATGTAACAGCTACTCTAGCATTATAAAAGAATTGAAACAACATCTATGTATTTAGCATAAAGCATGAAGTTCCCTTTATTCTCCAAAATCACAGATCTGTTTCCTCAGGCTGGATGTTAGAGCTATGAAAATTTGTTCTGTGTCTCCCACAAATAAAATATATTTGTTTCAATATTTATTTAATTCACAAATAAGATACATTACATATATTTATATTGCTCTAGAATTTATGCTTTTACTTAAAATACGTAGGGTTGTCACCATATTCATACATGTGGACTAATTTCCTTCTATGTAACAATTGAATAATATTTCAAAAGCCCGAGGTAACATAATTTTATTATTTTTTGATTGATAGCCTTTTCAATTGTTTTATTTTAAACATTTTCTTGTTTTCTTCCTCTTTTCCTTCATTCTTTCCTCAATAGATTGCCCATGTAAGTCACATCCTAAAATTCAAAGTGAAAATAAAGTAGAAGAACTCTAACCATTGAAAGAGCAAATATTAAGAAAGAGCTTTACACTGAATAAAATTAAAAGACGAAGATTGGAAGGGAAAGAAGAAAAAATTTTGAGCAACTTTTATTGTTTAATTTTTCTGTTAAGCAAAAATAAGTATTGCTGAAACATATAGGAATTAGGTCTTCTTAAAATATTTGCACAAATATAACTGTACAAAAAATAAATTCTTTTGGGGCAGGGGATTTAGTTCAGCAGCATAAGCGTCTGCCTGGCAAGTGCGAGGTTGTGAGTTCAATCTCTGGTACAAAAAAAAAAAATTCTCTTTAAAAGCTAAAAAAATATAAAAACAACACTGCAACAATTAAAATAACAGAAGGAACTGAGAAAACAGATAATATACTGAGAAACCTTGAAAAATTATGCAAATAGATAAACTTGAATTTAGACCATCGATTACAACAGAAAATAAGAAACAACTTGAAGGTGTGAAGTCAAATGATGGCAAGCAAGACACTGTAAATAGAACAAGCTAAACATAGAGAAAAAAGTACTGTGTTACTCTACTTATGAGAAAGCTACAGCTAAAAAAAAAACATATAGGAAAAGAAAAGGGTGGCTTACAGTGGTTGGGTAGGAAAGAAAATAGTGAAATTTTTGCTTAATAGGTACAAGACATCTTCTTGCAACATGAAAAGAGTTCAGGACATAGGTATTGGTGATAGTTACACAACAGTGTGAATGTAGGTGAAAGCAGTCTCTCCTTTTTTACTGAAACATATGGAGACTTTCTGAATAATGCTTCTCAGCACCATGCTTTTTAGTCAGTTTCTAGAGACAATAAATGGTTGTTTCGAAAATAAATCTTTTTATTGTTAACTTTTGGCAAAATGGAATATATCAGTTTCCTCACAAAGGAAATGAGGCAGTAAAAAGAATTTAAGTCCCAGCTAAATAAAGTTCATTTAGAATAAAATTTGTTTTTTAAAAAAAGTTTAGGCAGTATCACTTAGTGAATCTATTCTTTAGTAGATTCTTTTCATTCATTATTTACTATATTTATTTATTTTTTATTATTGTAAAATATTTACATACCTTGCGTGAGGCTTTAAAATATCAAACAAAACACAAAACTGTTAAAGAGGAGCCTAGTTTTTAGTGCCAATTTTAAAAAGATTTTATAAGTATAAAAGTGTTGTTGTGTTAACATGAGGACCCCCATCTACCCCAATCTACACTCACTTGATTTTGAAACTGCTGACCTTCTGGTTGGGAAAATGGAAAGGAGAGGCTGTCTCTCTCCTTCTCAGTGCCCCGTTACTGAATACTCAGATCTTAGAGATTTAAAGCCTAGCACAAGGTAAATGAATGCATATTGTCCTGCATAAATAAATGTAGGGGATGAATTCATAGCATTCTTGTGAAAACACTAATTAAACACTCGTTATTTCACTTGTCCCTCATGAACTTGACGTTAAAAAAAACGATGTCACTAACCTAGTTTCCCAGTAGTGCATTAAAATTCAAAATTGTGCGCATTGCACTGAATGACAGCAGGATTCAGCTCAACACTGTCATTGCCAGAGAATTTACAGTTATATATAATTGGTACTAATCTCACAAGGTATTGTTAATCAATATCATTTCGTTTTATTTTGAAGATAGTAAAATACAACAAAACAAGACAGAACAAAGCCAATCAAGAC